TTAAGATGAAAACGATTGAGATTGATAACCTCAACACAAGCGGTTTATTGGTTTAATCAATATAATTAATTCCCCTTGGCATATCAACCATGAGATGCATGCATTAATATTCCAAGTTTACTACCGTTGAAAGAACCGGATTAATAACAAGCGTATTAACCGATTGATTTAGTAATAATTAATATGAGAAACAATACTAGTTGATACTTTAAGTAATGTTTAAGATATTAACATGAAATATGAATAGGAATTAATCAATACTCAAGGAAGAATATTAAAATATATGAATCCTACTATGATTAATATCAAGATGTTAACTAATTGTCATCTTAGTAACACTCCCCAATATTATCATAGAGGAAGAAATAGCTATTACTATAACCAATGTCAAGATGTTAACTAATTGTCATCTTAGTAACACTCCCCAACTTTGATATAGAGATAGTATTTTGAAAGAAAGAATTAATATTCAAGGAAGAAGATTAAAGAAAATAACTCACAACTTACAAATTCATTAAGCTTCAAAGTAGCAAAACCAAGATGGAAGAGTTTAGCTCCTCATTTGGAGACTAAACATGATGAAAAATATAAAGAAAGAGCTATTCTATACTGAGCTTAGATGTACAAGGGATTGGATATCTTTTTGTGAAGGAAAGGAGGTGTATTTATAGGTTTTTGGGATGAGATTCGGGTACTCGATCGGGTATATACATGGTACCCGATCGAGTATGTGTGTAACATCCGATCCGAGGCATACTCGACCGGTTTCAGGCTATTTTCTAAGTGTATACCCGATCGAGTATATATGAATACCCGGTCGAGTATGCTTAGAAAGTGATATTCGGGCTATACTCGACCGATCTTCGTTTGCAATTTAAAGGCATACCCGATCGAGTATAGCTAATACTCGGTCGCGTATGCTTAGAAAGTGGTATTCGGGCTATACTCGACCGATCTTCGTTTGCAATTTAAAGGCATACCCGATCGGGTATGTCGGTCTACCCGATCGGGTATAGACATAGAATCGTGGCCAAAATCTTCCCTGCATGTTCCTTTGTCTTCGGATCTGATCCGATTTGAAGTTCCAACCTAATACCCGATCGAGTATAGCTAATACTCGACCGAGTATAGACCAAAATTCAGGATCTTCTTTTGTCTTTGAACTTTTGCACCTTCTCTTCACTTTTTGGGTTCACCAACTGTACTTTGGGTGACCAAAACCTGCTTAAGCTCAGAATATGTCTAATCTAACCTATTTACAAGAATTTAACAATCTAATCTATTACACCAAAAGTGTGTAATTTCCAAAGTAAAAGTCAAGCAAAACTAATTAAAAATATAAACATAGAAATGGAAATTACGAACGTATCAAGAACATTATATTTGGGCTGCCCGACCGTTCTTATTTTGCATCGAAGGGTTACGTATCCTTATTTACATGGTGTTGGGCTCTTATATCTAATAAGATTTCCCAATTAAGTATTTGTAAGCCCATTACTATTATACGAGCCCAAATAGTAATATGATTAATCATGCATCACATAAAACATTAATCGTTTTACAATTGTTCAATAATAGGGACATTCAATACATAAGCTTTGAATTTTAAATTTGAATTTCAAGGACGCTCGGGTGCGGTGTCACATGTACTGTTTAGCCCATGATGCAGTGCACTTAAAGGGACACTTCTTATTTTCACACTTTGCTTGAATTCTTCTTGGCTCATTCTTCACCCACCTAATATCTCTCTTATTATGCACTGCATAATTAATCATAGATGTTTTGAATTGTGTGGCATCTTCAAACAACATATCCACTTCTAAGTCTTTTAATTCTAAAGGTGGATTGTATGAAAGAACTTTATGTGTGACCTTCACCTTAGACTGGACCTCTTAAATTTGGACCTCCTCTTGTTCAGATTCTGAGTAATAGCTGGGAGGTTCATCTGAGTCATAGTATTCACTAGATACTCCCTCACCTTCCTCATATGAAAGCAACTCATCAGTGGTCGTCTTGTTCTAGCTTGTTCTTTACCTGGGCCATTTGCTTCTCTCTCAGCTTTGCATCATTATCATTATTTCCATCCTCCTCCTCCTCCACTGAAGTTTGATCATCACCTGAATGTAAAAGCTCTTCTTCTATTTCTTCTTCAAATGTGGCATTTCATTGTGCACTTCATTCTCTGTTTCTGTAAGAAGTGTTGTATATGTCTCCATTCCAACTCTTGCGTGAACAACATGCTCTGCTTCACCCCTCTTTTCTGTCTCTACAACTATCTCATCATTTGTAGTTGAAGGCAAAGCGTCTGAAGAAAGTAATTCAGGCTCATCAATACCATGCTCCACATAAATGTCAATTATTCCTCAATTGGTTGCCATCTCAATAAGCTGAAGAGTCCATAAGGTCTTTAAATGCTCCATCTTCTCCCCATGTAGTTTAAAGGATAAGGATTCCACCTTCTTGTATGCATCCTCAGTGATATATTTTAACATATGTGGATGAGATCAAAATTTTATCTGAATCGAGAGTAATGGTGTGCCACACCTCACCATTTACGTATGTCAGTTCAGCTTGTTTAACAAAATTCCTCCCATGGTGTATTCTTAACTCTACTTCCAAAAACATTCTACAATGTAAACAAATTAATAAAATATGTTAGATCGAGCAAATGATATTTTTAATGACACCAATATAAACAGATTAATCAAATATCTTTTTTGGAAACCATAGAAAAGAGGCAGAAACAACAACATATCAAAGGAGGCATGTCCAACTTTGGAAGACAAAACAATTTGGTAATTACTATGGAACAGGTCCTAACTTCATATTCTACATATCGATTTGGAAATCCATAAAACTACAAATTAACAAACGAGTATATGGCGATAAAACCATTTGCAGAAAAGTATACTTACTTTGAAGCAATGTGAGTTCACAACTATTAGTTCTCAAATGGCGATGGAGGCGATCAAAGCGAAATCCCTACAATTTTCTTGTCAGCCATGGATGTGTTCAAGCGCGATTCACAAATCAAACCCTAACTGCGAACAACCAAACTGACACTTGAACAACTGAGAGTGGGATTCACATCTCATTTTGGACTGCGTGACTTGAACAGCCACGTTGGAAAAAATTGCCATGTAGTCGTTGCAACAACCACACCTGAAAGAATTTGGTTAACAACCGGACACGTAGGCAAATACCCGGGCTTTGCAATTGCTTAGCCGGTCATTTGACATATCTGACTTTTATTACCGAGTAAGTGTACTCGTGCGACTGTTTTTAAAGTAGATGGACTTAAGTGATGATTTGATAATAGTACAAGGGCTTATTTGACCCTTTATTTTAGCCTAAACAAGTTCAATCTCTAAAACAGTAAAACTAATTTATTGTAGTCACGGTGAATTATTAAAGACTATTTAGACTCCACATATACATACCGCTACGTACTTTCAATGACTATTAAAGTGGTACACCTCCATCAATACGATATTAAAAAATAAATTAAATTTTATAACTAATGCTCCTAAATTTCCATTGTGTTGGCTAGTTATCACAATATTAGACAGTTGATGTTTTCTATCTTTTGCATCATTGCATGGAGATTCTTGCTTATTTATCTGCACATGATAATCTCACTGCCACTAAATACACGTTAGTAAATCAACACAAATTCTGGTTTTAAGTCATTTTGTCTTTTAGAATATTATTGATATTATATATATATATATATATAGGGAGCGAATAAGTTGAGAAATGCTCTTAGGTTGAGAACTACGAAGTTTAACTAATAGACTAAAAACACGAACTTTTAACCAATAAATCATAACTTATAGACCCCGTCGAAAATAATTATGAAAATGCCACCACCAAAAAATAAGCCTGGAAACCTTGAAAATTTTTGGACGCGGTGGCATTTTCATAATTATGATGGAGAGCTTTATAAGTTACTCCCTCCGTCCTGCTAACAATGAGACAAGAGTGAGCGGCGCACAAATCAATAAAAAGTGGTTTTTGTGGTTGATATTGAATTGATAAAGTAAGAATAAAGTAAGAATGATTTTGAGCCACACAACTTTGCCAAATTTGGTATGAGACAATATTAGTGGGACGGACCGATAAGATAAAACGGGACAATCATAGCGGGACGGAGGTAGTATGATTTATTGGTTATAAGTTCCTATATTCAGTCTATAAGTTTACTGCGTTGTAAGATTATATGCAAATCCAAAGGCTGAGATTGCTTCTCATTTTTTATTTTAAAAGAGACTTCTCACCTGATCTTCTATATATATATATATATATATATATATATATATATATATATATATATATATATATATATATATATATATATATATAATGTTAATAAACTTCATTCTTTCTGTTCTCATATCCCAATATAAAATTTGTTTTCCATCATTGCAAAAAAATGTGTGGATCACAAACTTCATTCTTTCTCGATTGACTTATTTTATTGATTTATGAAAAAAATTATATTTAAAATTTATTTTATTATTAAAATAATGAAAAAGTTATATAAAAAAATAATTAAAATGATATTATACAGTAACTTCAACCAATAGAACCAGAAAAGTAAGTTGAACCCTACTTTTTCTTATTGTTACATAGTTCAATACATGAAATCAAAATCTATTTGATGAAAGAATTGAGTGATAAATCTGATAAGTTGAAAAACATGATCAGTAAAGGGACTCTTAATAAGATTCATCATTTTTGTTCATGAATTCTACTTCAAAAAAATCTTGTTAAATTAATTAACAATGCACAATCTATCACATTTATACACTTGCGAAGTGATTAAGTAAGATTTACAGATGTGTTACTGGTCGGCATTTGTCTCGATATAGAAGTATTTTTCGTTCTATTCCTTTTCTATTAAATTAATTTTGGCATTTATTCTGAACCATATGTCTTTGTCTTGAAATTGTCTCTATATATGTATCAAGTGCCAAACTCATCCATACATTTGTGAATAGATATAGGAAATTAAGGGTAATCAACATCGATGGCTTCCCACTCCAGAGATTCGAGTTATGCGGCAACTCCGGCCTCCCCTTTGTTGGGTGACGCCGCCGTAAGACGCCGGTGGTCGTCCACCAAAACCATCTCCGTCTTGGTCGTGGGGATGCTAGCCGTGGCATTGCTGCTCGTGGCAGCGCCGGATTACAAGAATGCGATCTTAAATGAAAATAAGGTAGCTTCTTCCCTGCCTCACTCGGCACAGTCCACGACGGCGCGTGGTGTATTCGACGGTGTCTCCGCCAAGTCAAATGGCCATCTATTGCGGCAGTTTACGTTTTCGTGGGACAACCAGATGTTGGGTTGGCAAAGAAGCGCATACCACTTTCAACCCCAAAAGAATTGGATGAATGGTACAAATTTATAATAAAGTTAACACTTTTTTTTGGAACTGAAATAGGACTTTAATTTAGATCTCATATTCATTTTCGAATTCGAAATATATACTTCATATTTTGTTTTATTTAACTTTTCACTATATAGATTAATAGGATAGAATTATCCAGAAGAAGGATGCATATTAAATATGGAGTATTAGTATAATTATTATGCCTAAAGTTCAATGCAAATAAGTCGTTTCATTTCGGGAAATTTACAATATTCATCCCGTAACTTTCAGCCGTTATCATTATTAGTTCCGTAACTTTAGTCACTTGCAAATTTGGTCCTCTAACTAAATAATATTTGCGATTTAAGGATTTTTCCCTGAAAAGTACAATTTTCGGCAATGGCATACTGGAAAAGATGTCGCCGGCGTCGAACTCTTCCGCCGGAAAGTGTACTTTCCGGTGGGAAAGTCCTTAAATCACAAAGATTTATTAATTACATGACCAAATTTGCTAGTGCTTAAAGTTACAGGACCAAAAACGATAACAGCCGAAAGTTACAAGACTAAAATTGCAAATCTCCCTTTCATTTCATATTGCTCTAGAGCATATTCAAATCATTTAAAGCATGAAATTAAAATTATCCTAGGTGCGAGGTCTGATATTTTGCTTGGTAAATAATTATTTTACTTAACTGACTGTGACTGATTATGTTTTTATCCTTTGCGAATATAATGAAAGATTTGTTTTATCACTAGATTTTGCGTGATACTCCCTCCGTCCCGTTGTAATGTTCTCGGTTTGACCTACACACATATTAAGGAAATAAACTTAACAGGGGGTAATTTTTACTGTTTTAACACTGTTTCGACACTGTTTGACACTGTTTCAACACTGTTTGACACTGTTTTGCACTGTTTGACCCTGTTTTGATGTAGGATAACTTTCCATTTAGGGAAATGTGAACTTTCCAACGGGACATCCAAAAAAGGAAAGCGGGAACATTACAACGGGACGGAGGGGGAATTAGTTTTTGGGTCTGAAATTTGAAATAATTTAGTATATGAATGTTACAGCACACTGATATGAAGATTTATGTTTTATCACTAATTTATTTGAAATAATTATTAGTTTTTGGGTATGAAACAACTACTTTTTTGGATTTATCCTTCATTCTAGCACACTATTTCATTATCTTCCCATCATACCCTTTACGGAGTATAATTTATATCTCCTTTCACTATTCTTAATTTCATATACTTTTCAAATGAGAAGATATGAGGGAGTATATAATAGCCTTTAAACTACTCCCTCCGTTCCTAAATAAACTTCCAACTTTCATTTTTCGTCCGTTCCAATTAAAACTTTCACTTTCCCTTTTTGGTAAAGAATTTGTGGTTCACAACATTTCTTACACATTTCTCTCTCCTCTACACAACTCTCCACCACACAATATCCACTATCTTAAACTTTGTGCCAAACCCATTTAGAAGTTAAAATGGGATCGGAGCTGGTATATAGTTCCGGCAGATAAAGGAATATTTTGACCGTTTGATATACAAATAGTCATTAATATAATTATTTCATCGAACATGCTAACATGCTCCATGTTTTTTGGATATGTTTGGTTGTCTTGCTGGCATTGATTTGATGGTGGAATGTCCTCTGTCCAGATCCGAATGGTAAGACCTAATTTCTCTTGATTTAATTTTTTATTCATTTGATTGTATAGGAAATCGCTATTTTTTGTTCGCGAGAATATTCAATGAGGTTTGTCCCAATTTTTTAAAGTTGCGTAAATATTCTATCAAAGTAAGAACAATATATTTGCACTATATTAGTGGAATGGAAAATAAGGATATCAAGATACGAATTATAAATAAAAAGTTCTCCAAAAATGAAAATTAATTTGGAACACATACCAAAATGAGCCGTAGCTAAATTATTATAAATTTAATGATCAAATCTGCTGCTCAATTTTAAATTATAGGAAGCGACAGAGGAAATGGACGGAGAGTTAAATTAAAGCTAATTATTATGTATAATAAAACTAATCAATAATTATTCGTCATCATGAATGATTGGCTTATTTAAAGTAATCAAGAATTATTCGTCATCAATTCGACTGTAAAATAAAATTTTATTGGCTATATTAATTAATTATGAGCTTTTGAAGTTCAATTCACGATGTATCTCAATTGTAGAAATCAGGTTTGACTTCTTAGGCTGTATTTTACTCTCGGACGATTTCTGTTTTCAAAAGTCTATCACAAGCATTCTGTAGACTTCTCAAGTCAAATTTGCAATTTTGTTTGGACATGTCTACTTTTTACTCCCTAATCCCATAAGCTTGGTCATATTTTACTATTTTGGGTCAATCATTGTCAATTTTGATCAATGACATTTCAATATGATTATATTAAAGGTATGCAAATTATTGGAAAATGTTCTTTGTTTAAAATGAATTTCTCACAAAATATATTAGAGCTATAATCATTGAAGTTCCGAATATATTTGCTAAGTTTTATGAGACGGAAGGATTATATATATATATATATATATATATATATATATATATATATATATATATATATATATATATATATATATATATATAGGGAGCGGATCAGATGATAAGTGTTCTTAGGCTGAGAAATGTGAAGTTTAACTAATACACTAAAAATACGAATTTTTAACCAATAAATCATAACTTATAGACCTCGTCAAAAATAATTACGAAAATGCCACTGCAAAAAAATAAGCCTGAAAGTTATGATGGATGCGGTGGCATTTTCGTAATTATGATGGAGAGCTTTATAAGTTATGATTTATTGGTTATAAGTTCCTATATTCGGTCTATAAGTTTACTGCATTGTAAGATTAGATGTAAATCCAATGACTGAGATTGTTTCTCATTTCTCATTTTAAGAGAGACTTCTCACATGATCTTTTCTATATATATATATATATATATATATATATATATATATATATATATATATATATATATATATATATATATATATATATATATATATATATATATCACATTGTTTAATGTTCACAATTTATTTATTTAGAGCCGATTTGGTGATACCAAAATCGACTTCATCACCAAATTCTGCTGAAATTTAATATTGGCGAATCCACAACATATGCTTTGTAAAACATAAAACAGAGTAAATGAGCTCTTTTATATGGTTGTAATTAGGAGTCGGCCATTGAATAAAACAAGAATAGTACAAATTATATAGATAAAGACAAATAGCCATCGGTAGCCTACTCAGCATAACAATGATCCGGGTCACTACGCCAAGTGCTGTCCATTTTAATAATGATAACTGAATAGACTTAAATCAATTCCTTTTAATGATTTTTTTTTTACTTTTACGGAGTAATTTATTTGGTAATATCGTATTAACTAATCAATTAATTGATTAACTATGGTTAGGTCCACTGTTGTACAAGGGATGGTACCATCTTTTCTATCAGTACAACCCGGAAGGCGCAATATGGGGTAACATTGTGTGGGGCCACGCAGTGTCGAGGGACCTAATACACTGGCTCCACCTCCCCATCGCCATGACCTTTGACCACTGGTACGACATCAATGGCGTCTGGACAGGCTCCGCCACCTTCCTCAACGACGGCCGCCTCGTCATGCTCTACACCGGTTCCACCAACGAGTCGGTCCAGGTCCAGAACCTGGCCTACCCGGCCGACCCCTCCGACCCGCTCCTCCTCGAATGGGTCAAGTACGAGGGCAACCCGGTCCTCGTCCCCCCGCCCGGAATCGGGAACAAGGATTTCCGCGACCCCACCACGGCGTGGGCCACCCCGGAGGGAAAGTGGCGAATCACAATCGGGTCAAAGGTCAACAAAACCGGGATTTCTCTGGTGTACGACACGGAGGACTTCAAGAGCTTCGAGCTGCTGGATGGGGCGCTCCATGGGGTTCCGGGTACGGGCATGTGGGAATGCGTGGACTTCTACCCGGTGTCCAAATTGGGAGAAAACGGGCTGGACACGTCAGACAACGGGCCCAGTGTGAAGCACGTGCTGAAGTCGAGCCTCGATGATGACCGGAATGACTACTATGCCCTCGGAACGTACGACGCGGTCGCCGGGAAATGGACACCAGACAACCCGGCGATCGACGTGGGGATCGGGATGAGGTACGATTATGGGACGTTTTATGCGTCGAAGACATTTTATGACCCGGAAACGAAGAGGAGAATTCTGTGGGGTTGGATTACTGAGACTGATAGTGAATCCACCGACGTCCAGAAGGGTTGGGCATCCATTCAGGTATGTGCCTTCCATTTTACTCGCTCCATGTCATTTAAATCTTCCTTTTGGGAACGCCTCCTTTACCTTTTACATTTCCTTTTTAGCCAATTTCTTTTACATTAAATGTCTAACTACCCTTCACTGTTTACTCACTTTTTACATTTGACTGATTTGAGTGGATAATGCAAGACATTTGTTTTTTTTATTTATTGAACTCCTAAAATATCTTGTCAAAAGCAAACATCAAATTCTATCTAGGACAGGACGGAGTAATGTTTACCCTTCATTGGAAAAAATTACATTATTGATCGATAACATAATTTTTATGATAAGGAGTAATATTGTGAAATAATATTTTCGGTTGAAGTTCCATAGCGGAATATTGTGAAATAAGGAGTAATAAAGTGCAATATTAAGATATGAGTTACTCAGATCCACATTTTCAAATATAATTTTTAATAATTCACCCAATTTATAAGTTTCAGACATAGTTTCATCCATTGCAATGGATTCGGCTGAATTTAATGTTTCAAAGAGGCTATATAAATTAAGCACTGAAAAATTAAAAGTAGGTTAAAAGTTACTAGAAATTGTGTTTCACTTTTTCTATTATAATTCGTACAAAAACACTTTTTTCAATGATTTTTTCTTCTCAAGCACTACTAACTTTTACACATTTTGTCTAAAATTAATTTTTGAAAAACACTCTTTGATTCAATAGCAAACATTCCTTAATAGAGTATGTTAAGGGAATATGGGATAAAAGCTTATGTAAAAGATTTTTTTT